AGACATATGGAATATAGTTACCATAATTGTTTTAGTGTCCTTGTCTGCTAAATCTAACATCTGTGCTGTTCTGAGTCAATTTTTATTCATTGACTTTTTCTTATCATGAGTCCTATTCTCTTGTTTTTTGTTTGTTTTTGTTAATCCTCACCCGAAGATATTTTTCCACTGATTTTTTTTTTTTTATGAAAGTGGAAAGGAGGGAGGGAGAGAGAGAAACATCGATGTGAGAGAGACAAATTGATTGGTTGCCTCCTTTATGACCCCGACTGGGGCCAGAAATCGAACATGCAACCCAGGTACATGCCCTCAAAAGGAAATCAAACATATGACCCTTCAGTCTGCAGTCCAATGTTTTAACCACTGAGCCAAACCAGCTAGGGCAGCATGGCAATTTTTTATTGGATCCTAGACATTGTGAAATTTACCTTGTTAAATGCCAAATAATTTTTTATTCTTATAAATATTCTTGAACTCTGTTCTGGGATGCAGTTAACTTCTTGGAATCAGCTGGATATTTTTAGGTCTTCCTTTCAAAATCTTTTAGGCAGGACCAGCTCAGCAATTTCATCTAGAGCTAATTATTCCCTACTATTGATGCAAGACCCTTCTGAGAACTCTGCCCAGTTTCCTGTGAATTAGAGGTTTTCCAGACTGGCTGGCAGAATGAGCATTATTACTGGCATTGTGGAATATTTGGCACTCTTCTTTCTAATCCTTTCAGATGGGTCTCTCCTGGCTCTGAGTGGTTTCCTCACATACATGCAGTGATCATACATATACTTATGTAGATCTCCATTGTTCTTTCTCTGTACAGCTTTTTTTCTGAGAACACTATCCTGAAAATTCTAGTCACCTTGATCTCTCTGGACTCTCAACAAGGTCTCTTCAATGCAGAGAATCTGCCAAACTCCTGGATACCCACTCGCTGAATCATGACCTTAAATTTCTTTCAAGGTACTAAGTTAGGGTTATTATAGGACTCACCTTGTTTATATCCTATCTCCAAGAATTAATGCCCCCATTGCATGATGTCCAGTATCTTAAAACCATTGCTTTCTATCTTTTCTTATCTAGTTGTTTTAGGAGGAGGGTAAATCTGTTCTGTTACTCCATCTAAGCCAAATGCAGAGGTTTTGGACTTTGTATTTTGTTGTCTTTTTCCTCTCCCTCCCCTTCCTTTCCCTTTTCTCCCCCTCCCCCTCCCTCAGGTTTGTATCAGTTCTCACTTTGTGGCTATATAATCTTGCCAAATTCCTAGCTTCTCTGAGCCTTAATTTGCCCATCTGTCAATGGGAATAATAAGGGTACACTGATTACAATTATAGTTATGGAAAGAATTTAACACAAAGCCTGGATATAGTAAACACTCTAATAATGGAGACTATTTTTATTATCCAGATTAAGGTTTAAATCAGATGATCTTTGCAGGCTATTTCATATCTAACATTTTGTGATGTTATTCAGTTTTGAAAATTACACAACATAATTAAAAAATAAAAGCATGCCCTCAATATTCTTTTCAGACATGCACTTATGCATAAATGAAAATTAATATTTTGTATGTAACTTCATCCCTGTCCAATTTTATTTTACAAATTATCCTTTCCAATTCTATTAATCCTTTTTAACTTAATTAATAGCACACTAAATTACATTAGAACTTAGTATGCCATTAAGGCCATTTTAAAGAAGAATTTGAATGTGGGTTTTCTGTGTTTTTTGTTTTGTTTTTTGCCTCCCTTCAATGCTGGAATTGACTTTTTCCCAAAGTAAACGTTTCCCCCCTGCATTTTCATTATTAATCCAATTGCTCAGCCAGCCAGAAAGTAAGATTTTGTTTGTTTTAACCATTTGTATTTAAAAGATCTAGGTGCTATTTAAAATGAGGTCAATAGTGCAATTCTAAAATGTTCCTAAATGTGATATCTTAGTAATAATCTAAGACAAAACTCAGTACTTGGTTGGATTTTTTTTGTTTTATGGCACTACAAAGTGATAGTCAATGAGTGACTCACTTACTGTAAGCAGTCTGGCTATAGGAAGTATTTTAATCACAGAATTTTCACTGAATAGTGACACCATTGTGCATTTGGAACCAATTTTAAATGTTCAGCATGCACATTAATTTCCATTCTTCAAATCAAAGCAACACTTCAAATAAACAAAATCCATGACAATTAGTAAACATGCAATTATTTTAAAATGTGCCATCCTTGTTGCATAGCAACTTTTGCTTTTATTATGTGCTTTTTACATACTCTAAAATAATAAAGCAAGGCATAAATTGTTATCTACTTTTTTAAATATTAAAAGCATTAAAGTTATAAATTTTATTCAATATGTATATTTTACATTTATAAAGGGAACACGTGATTCATACACAAAGGCACAGTGACCCAAGAAAGAGATGACAATGTCATATTAACGCTTCTTCTATCTCATGAGAGGACTTTAGGGAACTTTTTATTTATAGTTTCAATAGCTAACACAGCCAAGACATAATTGTCATATCTTGGCTTTATGGTCTGGATCTTGATTTACTGCTAAGCTAAAAGATATGAATTATTAACAAGAAGTCATGTCCTCCCAACAAAATAAAATATCCATTTATATTACAGAAAATTATACCTGCCAAAATACATCTATGATGTAATTAATTTATTAGAAAGATATCATGGTCTTAGTAAGAATTTACAGAATCCTATGCAGGTTTGTTTTCATCATCAAATTAATTTAGCATGAAGCAAGAACATAATACTCTTACATGGTCAGATGCTAACACTAACTTGAGCTACTCTCTGTGTTAGCAGCTCAGGGACAGGGCACAGTGAGCCACAGTACTGGAGTGGATCATGAAAGCAGTGAGTTCTCCAGTAGACTGCATATGAGAGTCCTTCATGGGGTGTGGCTGAGGAAATGAGAAGCTTCTACACAATCAAAGACAGGAAAATTCACTCTCAGTCCAAGAGGAGCTAAGGAGTTAGAGGGAGGGGAAGGATCTGTAAATCTCTATCCATATTACTTTCATCAGTGAAATTTCTGAATCAAAGATAGGACATTTATAATAAGTCTTCATACATATGGCCAAAGTGCCCTCCAAAGGTTGCTATAATTTCCAGTCCCTTAAAGAGTGTGAAAGACTATCTCACTAGACCTTCAGCATAGTGCAGAAACCACTCTATCAATAAGATGTGTGAAAAATACTTTCTCATTGGCTTATTTTGCATTTTTTGAATTTTTAGTTAAGTTGATTATCTTTTGTATTTTTAAAACATGAATTGGTAAAAGAGGGGGAAGTGACTAAGAATAGCCAATTGAGTACACTGAGGCTAATACAAATTAGAAAGAATTAAAGAAGTGTGAGCTTTAGAGAAGGGGGAAAAAAAGACCATGCTACAAAATAAGATGAGACACTTAGAACAACTTTAGCTCATATTCTCAAATTTAAATGTTGCCCATATGAAACTGTTGCTATAGTGATCATTTCTATTACAGCCTGGATGTATGTCCCTGAGGACAAAGGAAGAAGGACTGACTTATAGCGGGCCAGTACTGGCTGAGTATGGCCAACTGTGTGAAGACTGGAAATGAAAGTGACAAATTTATAATTGACCTGAGCCAGCAACAATACCTAAAAGGTTTTAATCTGATGAGTGGGAGAGTGGAGGATTTCAGGCGGGGATGTTAGTTTGAAAGAGGCCACTGCGTGTTGCTTGAGGTTACAAGTTGTAGTCACCAAAGAAAAGAATCTAATAATAACCAAAAAGGTGTCAGGACTTCAGTCATGCAATCTGAATTTCTGTAGAGCTCTAGTTCTAGGTGCAAATTTAAGTCACAATCAGAAAATCAAGGCAGAGGTCAGTGCTAGGAATAGGTACCACTCAGGGAAGAAAAAGAGTTGGGAAGGCTTCATTGCATTGTGCAGGAGCGGGCCCAGGGATCAGTCAAGAGCATCAGAAGTTTATGACAGGGAGATGGTGGCTGTAGTCCCAGTGACTGGAGCTGTGCATGGCCTGAGAAGGCAGGGGCTAAACATTTATTTTAAATATTACATATTTGTAGTCTTTAAAATTAACAAAGTAATACATACTCATTGTTGAAACTTAAAAAAATACAGAGAAGTTCAAAGACAAAAATCAATGCAATGTTTTTTATACTCTAAGAGCAAATATTTTCTTTGTAAATAGTGAGCTAAGTACTTATTTAGTCTACACTGCCCAAAGTTCACAATGAAATACTTTCAAGTCATTTTCCATTCTCTTCCTAAAAGCAGACAAATTATTAGAATGAAATAATATTACCCTGGGTTTTAAAGATGTAGGTAAATGCAGATTCTGTCACTTTATGGGAAAAAAAGTTTTAAGTATTGAAAAATAAAAATTATGTTTTTATATAAGAACTACAGGCTATCTTTCTTTCTTTCCTTTTTTTTGGTTAATCCTCACTGGAGGATATTTTTCCATTGATTTTTTTAGATAGAGTGAAAGGGAGGGAAGGAGAGAGAGGGAGGGAAGGAGAGGGAGGGAGGGAAGGAGGGAGGGAGGGAAGGAGGGAGGGAGGGAAGGAGGGAGGGAGGGGGGGGAGAGAGAGAGAGAGAGAGAGAGAGAGAGAGAGAGAAACATCCATGCAGAGAGACACATCGATTGTTCGCCTCCTGCACGACCCTGACCATGGATCAAAGCTGCAACCCAGCTATGCGCCCTTGACTAAAAATTGAGCCCGTGACCCTTTGGTCAATGGGCCAACAGGCCAGGGCCTAAGGACTATCTTAATCTTACAGAATTTCAAATTCTGTTCTTACCTTTTTACTCCAATTCTGTTATCTAATATTTTGAAAAAGATATATATCATAACTATTTTTGATCTAGGAAATTCCAGAAGGAATCAGATATGTGCCTGGAAGCAAAGAAATCTATTTGGAATAGTCTTCTGGCAAATAAACAGAACTTTTAAAAGGCAAATAAGACACACGCTGATGAAAGTTACATTATCGTTACCTTCTCCTTCCAGTTATCATCATCTAGCAGCTTCTGTCTAAGGGTTTCCTGCAGCTGCTCAATGCTTTTCTGATGTGAAATCAGCATCAATTCCCTGAAAACCATAAATCAGACAAATGAGTCAAGTCTCACCCCTAATACTCTTACTAAGTTGCACATCTTGGCTCAGAAAATATAATTTCACAACTTAGTCTGTTTATTCTCTTTAGCTATGTGTGTGTGTGTGTGTGTATATGTGTATATATACACACACACTGCTACTAGAGATTATTTTAACTGTTAATAGCAATTTACAAACACTGCATATAAGGTAAATATTTTCTCAGGCTTAATTTTTGTGTAATAAGTAATGTTATTTTTGCAAGAAATAGTAACAACATATATGGAATCACAGATATAATAAATGCTATGCATTAGGGTTCTAAAGTTTATGACAATTCTAACACTAGACCATATTGTCTTTTTTTAGAGAAAGTAAAATATATTGCGATATGCCATAAAATCAACACATTTGTGGTTTCTGCTGGATTTATTTTTCTTTTACTAATCTCAAATACTGATAGGAACAAACCAAATTAAGTAGAGGTGTGGTATGGTATAGTACAAAACATATTAGAAAATTAAAAAGACAAAAAACATTTTAATATTTTAATCCATATAAATATATCTTAAAGCTTAGTTTGTGATACTCTGGGTGGAGGTAATGTGGGTGATTCATGAGAACCTTTCACAGGGACACTGAATCAAATCTTTGACTATCATAAGTAGTAGCGAAGCATGCTTGTTGATCAAAGCTTCTTCCCATTTCTATAATCACCATGATTCTTCTTACTGTCTATGCAGGTGATTCTTCTCCATTGCTTATTCCTCTTTCTAAGCCCTTTGTTTTCCATCACCAATCTCTTCCTTTTGGCTCTGATTCCTTGTCTCAAACTTGTGACTCTCCTTTACAACTGTTGTTGGACATCTCTACTCAATGATCCATCAATACCAAAGATTTCACACATCAGAAAACAAATTCACCATTATCTGCAATCTTGCCTTTCCTCTTGACTTTTGCAAACCTTTCTTTAACGGTTAAAATCTGCTTGAAACCTTTCAGTCATCTCTGACTCTTCAATAAGAAGTTCCATGTATTCCACTTCCTCCATGTCAAACTATTTCTTCCCTTCCTTTCCCACTATCAGCAACCTTGTTAAGCTTCTTGATTCATCTCCCAACTAGAGTATTGTAATAGACTCTCAGTCTATCTCACAGTCTCTATTGGAGTCTCACTCATAATATTATTTCAAAAATTTTTAACCCAATAAAAATAGTGCTTACATTTATAGTACAGAAAAATTTAAGGACACAAACATAAAAAGACACATTTAACTTGGTCCATCAGAAGTATAAATATCTCTTGAAGGAAAATGATTTAAAAAACAAAACTCTCCAGACTTCTCTTTCCAGAAATGTGTTGGACTAGGTACCTTGACAACTTTCTTACTGAAAATAAATAAAATTATTTTTTGTATTATAAAAAATCTTAAAATTCACAAATGAGCTGGACAAAAGTGAGAAAAATAAAGACAACAAAACTCAAGTGAAAAAATAGAAAAAGGATATCAGTGGGAAACTATTGTAATCTGAATAAGGTCTGTAGGTTAATCAATTGTATTACACAATATTAATTTCTTAGTTTATACAGAAAACTGGTTATGCCATGGTTAAGAGAGAGAGGTTAAAGGGAATCATAACCTCTCTGTACTGTCTTTGTGACTTTTCTATAAATATAAAATTATTCCAAACTAAAGGTTAAAAAAAAATATATGAAAGGAAGAACCCCAACAATAAGTAGAACACTGAAGCTTACTCTCGTTTGGAAGGTACTTTCCTAATCTGATGAACTTGAGCTTTAAAATTTACAGCCATGAAGGACACAGGAATCAGGAGACAAAAAAGAGTCTAAGAGGAAACTCACCTGATTGAAGTTTCATCTCAAAGAGCTGCTTACAGTATATGTGTGAAATTCACATTCAGTATATGTCAAATATAAATCATGTCTCCTCTCACAGTACAAAAAGGAGATTACTGGCTTTGAATTGTGATGCTAAGTAGAGGGGAGAATACAAATATCCCATAAGAATTTGCAAACACAAACCAAACCTAATGCAGATTAATATCCTGAATTCATATTACCTGAGTGGTGTCAAAAGCTTCATGTTGAGAAAATGACTTAAAGCGGTGCTAAGTTAAACTTGCCTCCAGATGCCTGGTAAAAAAAACACCAATATTTTGGGGAGAAACCTATCTTAAACTTGGGGCTCAAAGACTTCCTACTGATAGAAAATGAAAAATGGCGGCAGAATGAATGGAAGCTACACAGATGATCTCCCAGGACCAAACTGGAATTATAACAAACATAAAGACAAATCGTCAGGTAAAAGCAACAAAAAAGCAGTTTGAGAGGACCATATAACCAAAGAAATTAAATCGAACCTGATAGGTCTGTGGAGGCGCAAGAGGTGGACTGGGAGCCCACAGACAGCAGTGGTCTTAGCTATGAGCAATGCCCTCAGGGTTAAAATCCCAAGATGGCTCCACAGTGCAGAGGGCCAGGACAGAGAACTAAATTAGCTACAGCCACTCACCTTGGGCTCCGGCAGAGGGAGGGTGGGGACACTAGGGATTTGGAAGGTACTCAGAGATTTTGCTGAGTTGTGGCCATGCAGGACGGTGGCCATCTTGTTCCTTCCCAGAACTCTGGGGAAAAACAGCAGCACCTCTCTTGGAGATTCAACTCCACCCAGATGGGACAAAGAAATGCCAATCAAGGATAATTGATGACCAGTACCTGCCTCACCCTCAGAAAATCCTCTTACTCTGAACACCTGAAAAAGTTTTTCATTCAACTGAGCACCCAAGGCTCTTCAAGTAACTGAGACTAATAACCTACAGGCAAAAAACTATAGGATAATGAAACCATTCCTCGGCTTTCGAATCTACCCAGGAAAGTAACACTTGACAGTGGTGTTTATATGGGTCCTCCCATGCTCATCCAAACCCAGTAGAAGGAGCCACAAACAACAGAACACCAACACCCACAGGGAAAATTTGGCAGGCTCCAAAACCCAATGAGAGAGCCAAAATGGTGAAACAAAGGAACAAATCCTAAACGAAAGAACAAGAGACCTCTACCAAAGATGAGATAAATGAAATGCAGTTAAGCAAGTTATCAGAGGTAGAGTTCAGAACCATGATCTTGAGGAAGCTCAACAGCATGAGTATGAACATCAATACCATGAGAAAGATATAGAAACATTCAAAATTAACCAATTAGAAATGAAAAACCACCATGAAAAAGTGAAGAATGACATAGTAGAAATAAAGAACACATTGAAAGGACTAACCAGCAGAGTAGAGGAAGCTGAAGACCAGATCAGTGAATTAGATGACAAGGTAGAAAAAAATCAACCAATCAGAAAACCAAAAGGAAAAAACAATTAAAAAATAGGAAGACTGTTTAAGAGAACTGTGGAACAACTAGAAACATAACAACATTCACATCATAGGAGTCCCCCAAAAAGAAGAAAATGAGCAAGGGTTAGAGAATATATTTAAAGAAATAGTGACAGAAAATTTCCCTAATTTGGTGAAAGAAGAAGGCATTCAAGTTCAAAAAGCACAGAGAGCCCCAAGTAAGAAGAACCCAATTAGGCCCACACCAAGACACATAGTAATCAAAATGCCAAAAATTAAAGACAAAGAGAGAATCCTAAAGGCAGCAAGAGATAAGCAACAGGTTACCTACAAAGGAAACTCCATAAAGCTCTCAGCTGACTTCTCAACAGAAACACTACAGGCCAAAAGGGAATTACATGAAGTAATCAAGATCATGAAAAACAAGGATCTGAATCAAAGACTACTCTATCCAGCAAGGCTATTATTCGAAATAGAAGGTCAAATAAAGAGCTTCCCAGACCAAAAAAAAAAAAAAAAAAGGCTAAGGGAATACATTAGCACCAAACCAGCACTGCAAGAAATGTTAAAAGGACTGCTGTAATTAGCAGGAGAAATACTAAACAAAAATGGCAATAAATAAGTGCATATCAATAATAACCTTAAATTTAAATGGACTGAATGCTCCTATAAAAAGACACAGAGTAGCCAATTGGATAAGAAAGCATAACTCGCCCTGGCCAGTTTGGCTCAGTGGTTAAAGCATCGGCCTGCGGTCCGGAGAGACACGGGTTCGGTTCCCACTAAGGGCACGTACTTCGGTTGCTGTTTGTCCCCGGCCCTGGTTGGTCATGCGGGTGGCAGCCACTCGATGTGTCCCTTCACGTCGATGTTTCTCTCTCTCTCTCTCTGCCTTCCTCTCTCTCACTCTATCTGTACAAAAAATGGAAAAATATCCTTGGGTGAGGATAAAAAAAAAAAAAGAAAGAAAGAAAGCATAACTCACATATGTGTTGTTTACAAGAGACCCACCTCACAAACAAAAGACTCACATAGGTTGAAAGTGAAGGGATGGAAAAAAATCTTCCAAGCAAACGAAAAGAGAAAAAAACTGGGGTAGCAATACTCATATCTGATAAAAGAGATTTCAAAATGAAGGCCATAAGTAGAGACTACATAATATTGAAAGGATCTATCCAACAAGAAGATATAACCTTGGTAAACATATATGCACCCAATATAGGAGCACCAACATATATTACAAATCTTCTGGAGGACTTCAAAGGAGAAATCGATAGCAATACAATCATAGCAGGGGCCTTCAACATACCGCTGACATCACTGGATAGATCCTCTAGACAAAAAATTAGCAAGGAAACAGAGACTCTAAATGAAGCACTAGACCAAATGGATTTAATAGATATCTACAGATAATTACACCCCAAAACTACAGAATTCACATTCTTCTCAAGTGCACATGGGACATTCTCAAAGATAGACCACATGTTGGGACACAAACTAAGTCTCTACAAGTTCACAAAGACTGAAATCATATCAAGCATCTTCTCAGATCACAATGGCATAACACTAGAAATCAATTGCAAGAAGAACATACAAAGACATATGAACAAATGGAAGCTAAACAGCATATTA